TACTACTACTACTACTACTACTACTACTACTACTAGTTGTAATAGTAGTTGAGTAGTACACCAATGAGAAGAACAAGTTTGATGTATGCTGCACCAGTGTTAGTATCACCACTATGTACTATCAGTACTAATAGTACTACTAGTACTAGTAGTAGAACTAGTACTAGTAAAGGTGGCTAGTAGTAGTAGTACTAGTACAACAGTCAGAGTCATGTCATGAGTAGCCTTTAAAGGTCAGATTGTGCTGGTCATTTAAACTACTCAGAGTGTCACAAAAAGTAATTGCAACACATAGTAACAAACCCCCTATTGCAACCCCGTCACATGCCCCAAAGGGACCCAATTTTTATGGTCAAAGTACACGTTGAGCTTGTGTCACGCAAGCAGCATAGTACCCTTTTCATTTATTCCCTGCAGAATGGTGCACAATTTATTTCTTGTCTGCGTGTTACAATCTGGGGTTCAGGTGGGGGAACACTCAGGCAGGTATAAAAGTGCACAGAGGTACCGTTGCGGGTGGGATGGTGGGAATTTTTTGAGCAAGGTAGGAGGGCATCAACTGCTGTTGCACCAGGATTGTGTGTGACAGCAGATGGAAGTCCTATCGCGATGCCCTTGCAGCAGTCTCAGGTGAGTGTCAGGTGAGGTCGCTGTCATGTGATGTCGCATGAGGTCGCTGTCACGTAATGCAGTACCTACTGGGCCATACCTAGAGGTGCGGCCCATGTGGGTAGTGCTGCCAGGTGGGTAGTGATCTTGCTGCTACGTGAGGTCGTACCCACCTGGGTTGTACGTCAGGTGGCTCTCACCTGAGCTGTAGTACATGCAAGGGCACCTGGGGGTGCCCTACCTATGCCCTCCTGGCCCGGACGTGGTCTCTTGGCCCCTGCGCAGGATGCTGCATACGTACCTACTACTACTAGTCCATATCACTGTATTGTTGTATCATATAACCTAGTAGTGTGCTCTGTCGCAGCACGTATGGGGGGAGTCGCCTGGCCAGTCACGGGTGGGCCTTGCGTGGGTCTCCACATGCGTCCACCGTGGTCTGTCCTGTGTCCTGCCCTGTATCATTATTGTGGCAATAACTTTGTTTTTGAACCGTACTAAGTATGATAGTATTGGGTGATTCCCGTAAACATAGATCTATGTATGCAACGGACGTACGTACCGATGAATCGTTACGAAGCTCCAAAGAAAGGAATGGAGGATCATACCATTCCTACRTACCTATCGTAAGGTATGCTTCCTATGTAAGTATCATAGGATGCATCATAAGAGGTCCAAGATATCGAGAGTTAGAATATCTTACAAAGAACATAGACGTCACGAGTCCGGAATGGAAGAACCTCCATGTAGATACCCTACCAGGTCTACACGAGGTTCTGATCAGAACTTCAGAATTCTYGTGAACGCGCTCGATAATCTTAATCTTATAATTTCAATTTTCATACACACTTAAACATACTAAGAGTACACGTAATCTCGTGCAATGTAATATTGAATTAGAGTTTAGTCATGCACACATAGATTTATGTCTTTTTGACACAGATACATAGATTTTTGGTTCAGACAGGCTCTCAACAACCAAAAGTATGTAAAAAACACATAGATTTTTTGGAATCATTGATTCAAAAATTCATTAGTCACGAGTAGGGGGAGCCAAAAATGGTGCACCAAAACATATCTAAAGTGTCAGCAAGAGCCGGGGAGCCTGCCAAAACATATCTAAAGTGTCACAAAGCGCGCCAAAACAAATCCAACAAGCCAGGTGAACCACAACCAGGTAACTATACAAAATCTGAAGTAACTGGCCAGAATAGCTAGCATCCTCACTAAAAGGACCAGGAAGACAAGGAAGAAGCCTGATGGAGTCATGTCAACAGGAATTAAAAGTTGAGAACCCCGAGAACCCCCCCCCCCCCCCCTGGGGAGGAACTGGTTGGAATGTAGCAAAANTAAAAGTTGAGAACCCCGAGAACCCCCCCCCCCCCCCCTTCCCCTGGGGAGGAACTGGTTGGAATGTAGCAAAACGTGTGTAGTTTTGAGGTGTCGATTCCAGACACAAAAAAGAACAACGTTGATCCAAGATGGTTCTAACAAGAAACACACAGCAGCAACAACCAGTTACAGGCAGGGGGACTGGTCCAAGGAATGGTACAGTGAACTACACCACTCAGGAAACCAATGACTTGATGTACACCATATTGGTAAGGCTTCCTATTGGGAGTGACCAGTGGAATGAAGTGGAAGCAACTCACGCTGAGCACTATCCTGATGCCCATAGGGATGTCCATTCCATTTGCAGGAAGTTTGCATCCCTTCATAGGAAGAACATTCCTACTGGAGATCCTCACTGTCCTTTGGCCGTGAGACTCCCATCAAGGTCTGGATCCTGTTGGGAGCTCCTTACAAGATATGGTTTGCCAAGCATTTTGAATGCTGAATCAACCACTACCTTTGGTCCATGCAAGTCGTACATATCCTCCATCTTCCTGTAGACTCCATACTCTGACATGGTGCTATCATGCCAAGACCCAGGACAGTTGAATGTTGTTGCTCTAATTTTGCCATCGGGGGCAAATACAAAGAGGTTGTTGACACATGTATCATAACACCATCTGTTGTAGAACATGTTCTGTACTGCCCAGTTGGAAGCTTTCTGCATTTTAAGCTTGAGGCCATCAGCAGCCCCCCACACCTTTTGCTCTCCAAGTAGAGGATATTTCTCCCCAATAGCCTCAATATAAGCATGGATCTCCTCTCTGGAAGGAGCTTGGATCCTTGCGTTTGGATGGTCTTGCAAGACGTAGACAAGGACACACCTGGTGAACTTGATCCACTTGTACATTACTGTTGATGTAAGACCAAATGCCATGGAGAGGCCTCTTGCAACTGAACCTCTGGTCCTGAACCAGTGCAGGGTCAATCCAAGACAACACAAGCCAGATGCTTCACGCTGTCAACCCTTTGGCATTCCATTCCTGTGGAAGCTCCTCATTCTAAGCTGGCCTGTTGCTTCATCAATCATGTACATGTTGAATATTGGTGCATAGAGTGCCAGCAGTCCCCTGCTGAAAATCCTGTGGTCAACACCACAACAGTTCAGGAGGGCCTGCTCATTGCCAGAGCCATACAAGTGAAGGAAAGGAGACTCACCCCACCTCCTGATTGCAATCCTCAGGTTTCTCCTATCCCTACGATGTCTTTCCTCTTGAGACAGTTCCTCTTTATCCAGCTCATTGTGGAGAGCTACGCATAGGATCATGAATTCTAGTGACATTGTCGGGGTTGCAGCGCATTGTCGGGGTAGCACGTTGATGTTCCTTTTTAGTACTAATGTTCCAAAATTTCTGTCAGCCAGCAATGATGTCCATTTGATGCAGCAATTCATCTTTTTCAGTTTCTTCCACTGCAATCGTGACACTTTAGATTTGTTTTGGCGCGCTTTGTGACACTTTAGATTTGTTTTGGCGGGCTCCCCCGGCTTGCTGACACCATGTGTTCTCAACATTTTTGGCAAGAATGCTGTTATTTTTCTGTTAATTTCAAGCGAAATTCCATATTCCAAATTAAGCACATTTAGCAAGACGCAGTCTATGACACTCAAATCTATGTAGTCAGCTTTTTATTCCCGTTAAGTCATAGATGCGATTTATGTCAGCATGGATTCTATGTTTACGGGAATCACCCATTTGTGTTAGCGAGCCAATTTTTTCTTTTCGACTTCCATGACTATTCGTACCTTATCATACGAGGTATCACACATACGAGTACGAACTGCAAAAAAGCAGAGAACGAACGAAAAACCCATGCTAGAAAGCCACACGGAGGACAGAAAAACAAGAGCGGATGGAAAAGTCGATCAGAACACACGGCACAGCTTTGGTTCGCAAAGATATTGTACCTTACAGGTTGTATTTGCGTGACAATGAAACGAAAAGATTGAGGTTGACTTATTTTGCCTTTCGATTACTAGAAAGCTGGTACTGCCGTGTCTGAAGCTTTATAGCAACAACATTGTTGTGCTTTGCGATCCCGTTTCCTTCAAAAGAGCGGACGCATAAAAGTGGAGACGGAGGGTTGTTTTCGCCATGCAACAGGGGAACGGGAGGTTGAAAGGAAATGGCGGCGACCAGAATGGCGCTAGAGACGATGGCTACACTATTCCTTCACCGAAACACCCACTCCCTCCTCCCGAAGCCTTTCGACAACTGAATGGAGTTTCTCACCCCCCAGAGCCCGAAACCCAGGACGACAGTCTCGACGAGAACAACGAACGCACTGCAAATAGAGGGGAGGCGGCAGCGGCTGAAGCGGAATCGTCCATAACGGTACCGCGACGACCTTCCCAACTGATACGGCGCCAGTCATCTCTGTTTGGAAAGCTCCCTGTTCGTAGCAATAGCCTGCTTTTTGGTGACGCAGTGAACGGTAGCAGCAGCAACATCCCCCTCCACAACACCAAGGACTACATCGACACCCTAGCTTCGGAAACCGCCATGACCTCCACTACGATCAATTTTTCGCAGTCGCAATCCACCTGGCTTCAAAACGACCACGAATCGACCTTGTTGGGAGGATCGCAGGTGCCGTTCCTCCACGAAAATAAGTCGGACCTTCCGCAATTGGAACAGCAGCAGGAACAACAAAACGGGAATTCGTCCTTGTTCGGTGCCGTGATGAGGCAGTTTAGCACCGGTATTTCCAGTGCCTTTCCGATGCCTCCTTCTTCGCCGTTTGGACGCAAGCCATCTCGTAGCCTTGGTAGCTACGCGGATTCCTCTCCTCAGAAAAAGGACGTTGGAGTCGGTGGCGGTTTTCGAAGCCTCATCGCGAGTCCTTCCGGAAAAACCATCATGAATATTGTGAACCAATTCAATAGTCCCTTCAAGTTCCAATCACCGAGTTCGAGCGACAGAAAAAGAAGGGCGCAGCGCCGACGACTCTGGAAAGACGACGAAGAAGACGAAAAATCAAACGGCAAGAGTAAGGACGCCGAAGATGACTATACCACGCCAACAAAACGACGGAGAATGCGACTGAATTACGACGACGAAAATAGCAAACCCAGCATCAACAATTTGTTTTCGGATCACGGCAATAGTGATTCGAGGTCCAGCCTCGGGGGTGGCATTGTGGATGAAAGTTGGCGAGAAGCCCCGATTGTTGGTTCCCTTTCATATCCGAGTCTCGACAACGATCCAACCCGCATGGAGTTTCTTGATTGGTCGCTCCCTACCAAGCTGCGAATCGAAGTGAATGGTGGAACCCTTCGACAAAAACAGAGCAGAAACATAGTTCATTCGTGGGTTAGGGACGTTATGCGCGACAACGCGGACGTTGTTACCTGCTGGATCTATAGCAGCCCTGTCTTACCGAACAACGATGTCACAGGGAGTGAAAGTGGAGGATTTGCCATTGCCCAACAGGGTTTTGGGCTTCTATCCCGAAGCATAAGCACTTCGAATCTCTCTGCTGTGCAGAGAAGCATTGCTACAAAGAAGTCAACAATGAGCCGCCAGGATTCCTTTTCCAGCAGCCGTTTTGATCCAAAGCCGAAAACCGTGAAAGGGAAGGCTTCCAACAATGGCAAGAGCGACTGTGAGACTGACAGCGTCGGTTCATCCAATGCTTCGAATCGCCTTGCAAAGTTTTTGATTCGGTCCGTCCGAGGTCCTCGTGCGAAGTATTCACGAAAACGTGTTCTGGAAGAGCATTGCTGGTGGGACGAACAAGCGACGGACGGTAGCAGACCGACTTTGACCCATGACGACCGAGTGGAGCGACTGCAGCGACGATGGCAACAAGCAATTCGCTCTCTTTATTCAAATTTCCGTCGTCGTGCGATGAGTTACGGCAATCAGATGCACTCAGCGAATGCTATGGTTCTGGATACGTACTTCTATTGCATAGGTCAAGACCACTCTGTCCTTTTTCGTGTTGCTGCTGCTAACGATAGCGACGGCGACAATGAAATTCGCGCGATGGTACCAGTCGTTCTGATCTCTAGCACCAGTGAGGCGTTTCGGAAGCAGCTTGAACAAAATGGGTTAGACATGAGTTTTGACAACAGCGGGAGTGGAGACGAAACCGTTCGATTTTTGGAGTCTATTCAGGAGCGAGAAGCAAGAGAACGAAGGAAGGTCGCCGCCGCTGTCAAGGTCAACAAGAAACTGTTCGACAAAGCGATTTTGAGCCCAGGAGTGAAGGCCGATCTGGAGGCTCTACGACGGGCCCAAGCCTTTGGGGAGGCGGCCGGTGCCGATGTCATGGTCAAGGTAAGCAAATCAGACCTCCAGTCAGAAAATCAAGAGAAAGCAAATAAGGCATTTCCGAAAGCTCTGCGAATATCGGGGTGGGACAATGTTTCTTTGTTCTTTGAAGTGTACTGGAACCAATGCGGAGATACGATGGGAATAAGAGGGGGCGGAATGACCGAAAACGGTCTTTCTGCTTGTGCCAAGTCTACGAACCAAAGGCTTCCGTTGTTGATCTGCCCCAACACGAAGGGCATTAGTCAATTTGAACATGCTTCTATGAAACGACTTCGTGTCTACCCGGTGGAAACCATGCAGACAGCTGACGGTACCGATAACAAGGGAAACATAGATTCACAGTCGCTAAAAAACKGGGACAAAGCAAAAGCAGTAGCGGATCAGAGCAACGGTGTGGAAATACGCGGCATACTGCTGCCTTGTATGGCTCGAAAGTTGTTGCTGTTGGCCCGGAAACAAATTTTGGAAGACGAGAAACAATCTTCTGCAATCAGTTCGGCGACAGCACTGGGTGCCACGAATCAAAATCATCCTGACGAACGACAGCAGAAGGACGAGCAGGATGCCTCGCGGTACGTGGTACTTCATTCGATTCGACCAAACCCAACCTCAATGGACACCGACCCAGTCCAAAAATCTTTGATCGGAGGTTTGAGCGGTACCTTGGTGTTCAACCAAGGAAAAGTGAAGAGGAACAAAGCCCGGGACTTAGAAAAGAACGATTGCAATCAGAATCCTTTGTTTGAGTGTTACTCTGGAAAGGTAGTCTCCATGGCTGTGTGGGATGCTTCACGCGAAGAAGTAGCAGCCTGTAAATTGGACGATGCCTTCCCGGCCAATTGGTACAACAACAAAAGCTAAAACAAATACATTGAAGCTATTCCAATTGCAAGGATTCGGATAGCTCAAAAAACAGATTCGTTGACTTTCTTTCCTTTGAACAATTGTAGCCGGCGAAAAGGATGCGCAGTTTCAACCCCAATAGTATTGAGGTGATGCTTTGTTATGCTAGTATTCCTAAAAATAGTTTCGTGCATGCGACGAATTGCCAATCGGGTGGTTGCATGACCTCCCGGCTAAACTGTCTGTAGACTAGTTCCTCTAATTTGATCAAACAATTTCAGGACACCGATACCGACATCAATCGCGTCCACTTTCAGTTCCCACTTCGATCAAGGCCCTATCATTAAGTCGTGTGTTTAAAGTGTACCATGCTGGCGTTCACTTCTTTTCTATAAATTAATACAACAGTAAATGAGCCTACGCGTCTTTCTTACAACTGGGTGTCAGACTCCTTATTGTAGTCCAATACACGATCGATGAGGCCGTAGTCCTCGGCTTCATAGGCACTCAAAAAGTTGTCTCGGTCCAAATCCTTAGTGATTCGTTCCGTGGTTTGTCCCGTCATCATTGAGTACATCTTTACGAGGTTGTCACGGATTTTCAGAATTTGGGCGGCTTCGACCTTAATGTCCTCTGCCTGTCCCTGGGCACCTCCCATGGGCTGATGGATCATGATTCGGGAGGATGGAAGTGCCAGTCGCTTTCCCTTGCTTCCAGCGGCCAGAATGAAACTGGCCATAGAGGCCGCCAATCCCAGGTTGATGGTGATCACTTCCGATTTAATGTGTTGCATGCAGTCGATGATGGCTAGTCCAGAAATAACGGATCCACCGGGGGAGTTGATGTACAGGTAAATGGGTTTCGAGGAATCCTCCGAGTCGAGGTACAACATGACACCGATGACCTGGTTGGCCAGTTCGTCATCGATTTCAGCTCCCAAAAAGATGATACGTTCGCGGTAAAGACGATTGTAAATGTCGACCCAGTCGGCTTGCTGCGATCCAGGAACCCGGTAGGCAACCTTTGGCACTCCGATTGGCATCATTTTCACGCTGGAAACACCCGACGACATTTTGGAGCTAGTGCTGCGGGTACCAAAGACCTTTGACGCMACGATTTCCTTGGACATGGGAGCAATGACTCCATTGGTTCGAGGAACGAAGGATGGAGCTGCGATTTTGTCATATATACCGCGCACAGATTTTCAATCACCACGGTTCACGAATCAACGCAACGCAAAGCGATGGAACCCGACAAATAACGAAACATAGATAGATCGATACCAGATCACGAGAAGGGGAAGGAAAAAGGGAAGTTTCTGTGAGTGTGGTGTTCCTTGGTTTCCCAAAAAGGATTTCGCGCAGGAATCCCATGAAAGGATGGGACTTAGGAGAAGACAAGGGATCGCTGGCAGAGCAGATGGCAAATGTTCCGATCTTCTCCCTCCCAGACCACCATCTATGACGCACCATAAGAGACAGCGGTTTGGATGACTGCGAAGAGTCCCAAGAGAAGGCAAAAAGAGCGCATGGTTGTTGTATATTGGACTGAAGGTTAGTTCGCCTGACAAGGACTTGATTTGTATTAGTATCAAGATGAGGTCAATAGACGTCGGTTGATGCACGGGATCCGAATGGGAATTCCATTCTTCACCGTCGTCGTCGTCGTCAGAGCTCACAAGAATATCATGGTGAAACTAGACGAGTGAGATCGAAAAACTGGAAATCCAGGTCGCGTTCCACGTGCGCGCGTATTTGATCGGTCTGCACTTCGTACGAATTGCACGAAAATTTTTAAAATGAGATCGTTGTATTCCGATACTCGTAGTAATCGTACCTTCTACTGGTAAGTTACTCTCTAAAACCATTTTTGTTTCTTACGGTACGTTACCGTATCTACGGTATGGTATTGTAGAATACGGTACGTACCAGGACGTATGTGGGCTGGCTTCGCTTGGGTCCCCTGCCTGCGCTGCCTGGATGGTTGACTAACCACATCCCAATCTACGGTATGAAATCAGCCCCTTTTAAATTTGTTCCCCCAATTCTTTTGCGGCCATCAACACATCACTATCAACTCATCCTTTGGCCGTCGAATGGAAACGGTTCAGTGACGCACAATCAAAATGTCAGAGTTGCCTGCTACCTGTTACACGTACCGTACTTTTCCGTAACGTATGGCTACGTACAAATACTTTCCTACCGCTAGCGTATTTATTTGATACGATGATAAATAAAAGGCCGTCGAGGAAGAGTTTAGTTTTGTACAATAGCTTCGTACAACAATCGTACCGTACGGTTCACGGGAAGAATCCTTTCTTTCAATCGAAATCGAAAAAAAAAACTCTCGATTGGAACAAGTGATCTCTCCGGTCGACGCTTGAACAAACACAGTCACGACACAATTCACAACGCTTCCCATCCCTGTCAATATACCCAACGCTTCACATCATAGACAACAAAATGAAGTTCTCCCTCGCACTCTTCCTCCTCTCTGCCGCTACATCGTCGGCCTTCCTCGCTGCCCCTAGCAATAAGAGCGCACGAATCTCGAGCACAAATCTCTTCATGGGCGGCGAAATCACGCCAAAAACCATCAAGGCCCTCCGAGACCTCACAGGTGCGGGTATGATGGACTGCAAAAAGGCCCTGACAGAAGCCGACGGCGACCAGGATGCGGCTGCCGAATTCCTGCGAAAGAAGGGGCTCGCGCAGGCCGACAAGAAGGCCTCCCGCGTCGCCGCCGAGGGGAAGATCGCCATTAGCTCAAGCGACGGGAAGGCCGTCATGGTGGAGGTCAACTGCGAGACTGATTTCGTGGGCAAGGATGCCACCTTTTTGGCGTATTGCGACCGCGTTGCGGGTGCCGCCGCTGGAGCTGAATCCGGGAGCATCGACGATCTTATGAACCAGGAGGTCGACGGAGAAAGCCTGGAGGCCACCCGACAGGCCCTCGTGTCCAAGATCGGCGAGAACATCCAGGTCCGCCGCTTGGAATCGCGTGGCGAGGGTTCCACCACCGTGGGTGGATACGTTCACATGGGAACCATTGGTGTCCTCGTCGAACTGGAGGGAGGTTCCGAAGAACTGTGCACGGACATTGCCATGCACGTCACGGCTATGAACCCACCGTACGCCACCTCTGATGATGTTCCCTCCGACGTCCTCGACAACGAGAAGCGCATCCTGACGGAGCAAGCCCTGGAGAGCGGCAAGCCCGAAGCGATTGTTGAAAAGATGGTTGAGGGACGAATCCGCAAATTCCTTGAAGAAAAATGCCTCGTCTCGCAGAGTTTCGTCAAGGATAGTGACATGACCGTTCAGCAGTTGCTTGACAAGAACGATGCCAAAATGGTTGGATTCAGTCGATTGGTCGTTGGTGAAGGAATCGAGAAGAAGGTGGACGATTTTGCCGCCGAGGTTGCATCGATGGCGGCCGGCAAATAGATGTGAGGGCAGCCATTGTCGATCGAGCGTAGGTTCAATCATCACCATCGCGCATCGTAGGGTGCATGAACTACTCGTACGTTCCGACTCGGGGATTGCGATGGACTGCGATGGTTCTGTTTTGTTTATTCAGGTCATGATGTTTTGCGTTTTCGTTAGGGGCAGACACTCGACGAACCTTCGAACGAATCTAGCCATGTATGATAGAAGTAACTGTTAAGTTTTAATTTATTCCAAGAGTCCTTCTGCACGAATGCTCGAACCGAAAGCCGTGGGAACTTGGTCATGCTGCTTGCTCCGTGCTTTGGTGGTACAGTATGCATTATTTTGATAAGTTGTACGCGTGTCTCGGACCGGATTTTATTGACAAGAAAGATAGCGTACGCATGTGTCTTCTTCTCTTGTTCCTGCTTTACGTTGTTGTGTTCAACAAGTTCGAAGAACTGATTGCCATTGATTTGGAACGCCCATCGTGCCCTGCTGTGTCAATTCTCACGGATGTAGCTCCTTCAGTATGCGGCACTGCACTAAATCCATCCGCAAAGGTATAGTGAATGATTCGTAAAAAAATTTGGCCACTGTTGAGCATGTGTGCACAAAGTATGTGGTGCAGGGCACTATTGGAGATGCAAGCAAGCAACCAACATCAACTGCAGTGTTTCTGGGCTATTGCATATTTTTGTGCACTTGCATTGGTGGTGGATTTTAATAATCAACAAAGGAGGAGAAGGAGGAGGAGGAAAAACTAGCCCGCCAGAAGAAAATGTATTAAATACTACTAGTATTTATCAGCAGTTTTCATTGTACCMTTTTGACCTACTACTATTTATTGCAACTAAAGAAATCTGTTTGTTGAAAATCACAAATCATATTAATTTTCTCAACTCAAACCTCGGTTTAAAAGGATGGCCTCAAATAGGACTCGTAGTTTACGGTGTGAGACTAAATCCCGAGTAGCTAGTGAATAACCTCACTCTTCTATTGTAAACCACGTATTAACACGCAGTGGGGAGCCTACTAACATTCGCAGGTTATGAGCAACAAGGAACATACCTCAACTCATTAACCATCATCAGACCAACATTCGCATACGGTACTTTCTAGCTCGCATGAGTACATGTACGCTACGCACGTACCGGCCGGTACCTTGCTTTCAAACTTCCACATGTACTTGTACTGTGGTACAGTATGTACAGTACGAAGTACGTACTGTACTTTACTTCGTTGGCAAGAAAACATTTTTCCAAAATCTTGGTATGCCCCTTTTAAAATTTTGAATTTCTTTTCATCCCCCTTTTAACTCAAACCCATCGACGTACAGCAGGAATACGATCGTTTGCTTCAGTAGAACGTGCTTTAAATTTCCTTGGTGCCGATGTTTCTCTGCCTTTCTCTGCCCACTAATCGTACCTACCCATCATCATCATTTTAACCATCGTCACCGACGATGAGAACCGTGCACGTTCCGATGAAAGTTTTAGTCGGATGTGCGGTACGTACGATACTCTGAGATACGATACAGTAAAATCGTACCATAACGCTTTGCTACGGATACCGAACAAAAAGAGGTCATTTACGTTCCAATTCCGGTACACCACAAATCTTAATTTTGTCGTAACCAAATCTACAATCAAAAACATCGAAAACATGTCTGCTCCTATTGGTACGTTATTCGCAGCCTCTTTTTTCAAGAATACTCTATCTCATCTAGTCGAAGTTGGGGTTGACCGTTTCTGGGTCTGTGATTCGATTCGATTCTCATCGAGTCTTTTTTCTCTCCGTCATTGTCTCTGTTGTCGTCGACGTCTTTATTCCGTTGCACCATGTCGGCTATTACGTGGACAATTATTTTGTTCAACCGAAATGAAATCATCGCATAGAATCTGGATCCATTTTGGGAATGGGAAATCCCCTCCTCGATATCTCGGCCAATATCGGCCAAGACGTTCTCGACAAATACGGTGTCGAAATGAACTCTGCCATTCTTGCCGAAGAAAAGCACCAGCCTCTGTTCAAGGAGTTGGTCGAGAAATACGATCCTCAATACATTGCCGGAGGTGCAACCCAAAACTCAATCCGTGTTGCCCAGTGGATGCTTACCGCCGCTAACAAGCCCAAGCACACTGCCTTTTTCGGTTGCGTCGGTGACGACGAAACAGGAAAAACCCTGGAAAAATGCGCCCAGTCGGATGGTGTTCACGTCCACTACATGAAGGATGCCGAAACCCCCACCGGAGCCTGCGCTGCTCTTATTAAGGATGGAGAGCGATCTCTCGTCACTAACTTGGACGCCGCCAACAATTTCAAGCCCTCGCATTTGGAATCTGACGAGGCCAAGCAAATCATCGACCTCGCAAAGATTTACTATTCTGCCGGTTTCTTCTTGACCGTTTCCGTCCCTTCGTTGGTCGAGGTTGCCGAACACGCCGCCGCCAACGACAAGACCTTCTGCCTCAACCTTTCTGCCCCTTTCATTGTTGACTTTTTCGGAGACCAAATGGCCACCGCCATGCCTTACGCCGACTTCTTGTTCGGAAACGAGAGCGAAGCTGCTGCTTACGGAAAGAAGCACGGCATGGGAGAAGACCTCAAGGAGATCGCCCTTAAGGTTGCAGCCCTGCCCAAGAAAAATGAATCCAAGCCCCGTACTGTTGTTTTCACCCAGGGGTCTGAATCCACCATTGTTGCCCACAACGGAACCGTCACCGAGTACGCCGTCGAACCTCTCGCCAAGGAGCTCTTGGTCGATACCAATGGTGCCGGTGACGCTTTTGTTGGAGGATTCCTTTCGCAATTGGCGCAAGGAAAAGACATGGAAGCCTGTGTCAAGGCCGGACACTGGGGTGCCAAGTACATCATCCAAACGTCCGGAACCCAATTGGCGAAGGCATGTGACTACTCTCCTTAAATTATTTATCAATATTAGACAAGTTATGTGCAGTAGATTTTCCAATGCTTCTTTTTCATAAACCTCCCAAGAAAGTGCACAGAGTCGCCGAGAAACCGTTTGGACCGAAACAGGAGGGAAAGGTTTGAGCCGTTTGGCAAAGAGCAAATTGGTTTGGGTTTAGTTTGGGACGGGGTGTACCTCGACGGCGCTTATTCCAATCTCCACTCCCAACACTCTTTGCCAACAAATAAGTGATTTTTGAAATTCAAATTTTCCTTTTGCCTTTTGGATTTCCCGTTGCTACACATCATTTGTTCCATTCCATAAAGTATTGTACCGGTAGAGGTCGTGTTGATTATTGATTACGGTTTGACTACCGTATTGTGATTCGTCGGACGCAAACAGACGTTCTGGAGGAGACAAGAAACTTGAGTTTCTTTTTGGCGCGCCAAGTAGTGACAAGGTTTGTAGGAGTTCGTACAGTTCATACTGGAGGGTACGAGTACTAGTATGCGTTGCGTCGCATTGGGTGATGCAAAAAAATCATCTGCCATCAAAAAGATGCTGAATCTCGTCCTAACTGCGGTACCGGTAATACTACAATTCCGAACTGTTGCAGCTTACGCTCTCCATTCGAGACATGCACGTTCAAACTACCAGGCGCATAGGCTTCCCTTACGCATAAGATTACCGATCGAAAGAGGAAAAGATCCAACGATCCGCTGTAGTGCTTTTCAAAAACGGCACTCTTCTTGTTGAACGATAATTGAACGATAAGAGACCGGAGGAGTCAGCAACCAAGAAATAGGTCGATAAGGTTCCGCCAGCACGAAACAAGGAGACAAAATAAGAGCAGAGCAAAGGCAAGCTACCGACCGAGAAATCAGCCTATTATGGGGATGCAGCGAAAGCAGAGMCGTGCGGAAGCTGCCGGAGACATGACTCGACGGATGATTTGCGGTGGCCTTGCCGGCTGTATTGCGAAGACCGTCACAAACCCATTGGAACGCATAAAAATGTTGTCCCAAACGGGAGAGCACGGGCTGAAAGAAACATCGGTCGTAGCGCTGTACCGCAACATCCTCAAGAACGAGGGGATTTTGGGTTTGTGGGCGGGAAATGGAGCGAACCTGCTGCGAATATTCCCCAGCAAGGCGATCGTCTTCTCGACGAACGACATGTACCAGGGATTCCTCCGGCGATTGCTATCGTCGAGCGAGGGAAACGATGCATACATTCACGAGGATCCCAAGCAACGGAAGAAATTGCCCTCCGCACTCTCTTTTTTGGCGGGGGGACTTGCGGGGATGTCAGCTACAGCGTGTACGTATCCCTTGGACTTTGCCAGGGGACGCATCGGCGGAAAACTAGGGTCCCGTGCTAGCGACGGAGTAGTAAAGAAGGAGTATAGGGGCATTGTGCACACCGTACTTTTGACGGTGAAAGAAGAAGGCCTTCCGGCCTTGTACAAGGGCGTGACACCAACCTTGATTGGAGCCCTTCCCTACGAGGGTATCAAATTCGGAACCGTGGGTTTGTTGGACTCTCTCGCTCCGGAGTCGTCCTCTTCGGCATCGCCGGCCGTGCGGAAAATGGTTTTCGGAGGTTTGGGTGGGGTTGCAGCCGGAATCATCACCTATCCCAACGACACCGTGCGGCGGCTCTTGCAGCTCCAGGGCAGCCGGGGGACCACGGCTCAGTATTGCGGGTACTGGGATTGCGTTCGAAAGACATACCGTGCCGGGGGCCTCATCCGGTTCTACAAAGGGGCTGCCATCAACATAATACGAATGGCTCCAAATTCCGCGGTGCAGTTTGGATCATACGAACTTCTCAAGGAATGGTCGAGTGATATATGAGAACAGCACGAGTCTCTCCATCTTTCACTAGTTTTGTTATCCAATAACTCGCCGTCTTATCTTTTGATGAAAAACAAGCAGTTGTGTAGAAAATCCAGTGCATTCTTTCACCGAATGTTCTATTTTTTGTGTGTCATCTTGACAAAGATAGTATATACTCACGGGAGAGAGATTCAACAGGAAACGTAACTGCGGTCGTCCCCCTCACTCTATTTGATCGTTTGCCACAGAGAAGGTGAGTGGTTCTCGGTAGCTCCAAAGACAGTTTTCATGATGGATCGCGATGATAGCCTATCAAGCTTTCGACATCCCACCGGGTTGCTCTTTCGATCCAGTCTCGAAACTCCACCGAGATGTTGTAGGGTGTCTTTTCGAAGGGCGGGAGGGACGGGCACGCGGAGCTGCTGGTGCCCGTGCCTTCCAAAACCCGGCCGATCTCTTCCGTCAGCGATCCCAGCCCGTTTCCCAGCAAGCTTTCGTACCGGACAAAGCCGATCGCGGTGAGGTCCCACTGTTCGGGGATGCGGAGGAAGTTCTGGATCTTGGCGGCCCTCAGCTGCAGGAGGTGCTCGAAGGGCTCCCGCTGGCCCCCCGGGCGCAACTCGTACACCGGGTCGTTGGCACCGCAGGGCAGGTGGCGGAGGAAGACCGGCGGGATGCCCCCGAGCCGGTCGGGCACGTAGTTTGTGTTGCGCCGGCAGGGCGAAACGGTGCCGGGGGGGTATCCCTTCTGGCACAGCCCGGGACCGCTGGCCCCGGCATTGCCTCCGTGTTCGTGCGGCTTCGCCGCTGCGCGATCCCGGGGGCCGGGTTCCTGCTCCAGGAACAGCGGGCGCTCGACGAATTCCTTCCAGTCCAGGGCGCCGTGGCCCACGTAGGATTTCTGGACGGAAACCCCGCCGCCCCTGCTTTCCCCCGGTGCACTGCTGGCGCTGCCGTGGTTCTTGACGTCGACGGAAGAATTCTTCGCCGACAAGGGAAAGAGAGACAGGTGGTTGGGCCAGTGCCAGGGTTTGCGTCTCATGGCTTCGACCCTTCACGGAGTTCCAATCGAGGCCGTTGGAAGAGAAACGCCAGGGGCAACCGAGAAGGGAGAAAAAGCGGGACGAAACGAAACGAAACGAAACGCAGGGTCAGAACACGAATCGTTCGGATCGAATGGCGGGCCGTTTGCATGCCTTGGGACCACTGGTTGCTTTCGCTTCGGGCGACGTCTGGTGGCGCGAGGTGCAAAGAGTTGATTCAACGGAGTTTCGGAACGGCGAAGCCACAGAGCTGCCGACGAACCAAACCAACAAAGGTGCTCACCAATCGTAGGGATTCCGAAAGAGCACCACGACCAGCGAATCTCGAAAATAGTGGTTGGGGGGGGAGCCGCCGGAAGGATCGTGCTCGTGCTTTTGCTCGTCGTGGTTCGTGCTGGTGGTGCTTTGTTCGGCAATCCTTCGCCACAGCGCGGGAAGCGACCCATCGTCGTGGTCGTCGTCGTGGTGCTGGCCCCCGACGCCTCCACCCCCGGCACCCTCCATCGCTATGGCCCGTGCGAGGTGCTCCGGATCGGGCTGGAACCAGTGCTTGCGGTTGAACAGGGCGTCCACGACGGTGGTGTTCGGAAAGCACTCCGACAGGTGCCGTTCGAAAAAGGTGGTCCCGCTGTGGCGCTCGCCGAGGACCACGATCTTGGTCGCGGGGTGTCCCCGGCGCAGGACGTGGATCCCGATCCTCGCGGGCGGAAGGCCCCCCTCGCTGGTCCCCCCGTTCCGCAAGAGGTCCTTCCACACGGCGGTCGCGGGGTTTGCCGGGTCCCGGCCGGAAGGCCTCGCGGTGGTTGGTGTTGGTGGAACACATGTTCCAGAGGCCTCCTTCTCGACCGACGAAGCCACGGGGGGGGCGTCCCGGACCGGATTCCTTCCGAGCAACACCGCGCACTCGAACGCGATGCGCACGGTCGGGATCCCGAGGCCCGCCGCCGCACAGAGCAGGAGAAGCCGTGCCGCCCTTGGCCTCCGCCGCTGCCCCGGAAGCGGAACCAGCCGCTGTTGCTTCGGGACGCCTTTCGTGGCTCCCTTGCCGGCCTTCCGAACCGGGCGCTCTTTCGCCGACAGCGTGCTGCTTTGGCCGCCGTCCCCCGGCCGCATCGCCCGTGCAATGGCTTGGAGAAGGGGTTCGTGCGTACCGTACGGCACGTCTGTCCCTTCTGTTTCCAAACGTTGTGGCGGTTGTTTGTGTTGGTCGATTTCGAACCATTTCTCGGCACCCCTCCAACACCGGTAGGGTACTTGTACCCTACGTACCGTAGGTCACGACTCGTCAACTCCTCGTAACGATACCGGTATGTACTATGTATTGTGCATACGGTACAGCACGTACGGGGTAGAGACATTCTAAAATCTAAAAGAAGCATTACTGTCACTCTCCGATCTCGAACATGCATCATATGTATTGATCATACATCGTACGGTACGATATTGCATATCGTTCGTTGTTCGTGGAGATCTCTTACTGTACTATCGTATAGTACGTATCTTACAGCTCGTACCATATGAACGCAACCATGCTGTAGGATACGGTATGCTCTGTATTCCGTGATTTGGACTCCAGGCAGCAAAAACTCTCCCCTCCACCATGGCAATACCGTACCAGGGTACCGTACGGCAGCCGTAGGTACGGTACACCATGAAATCGAGAACTCGAATGCACTCGAACTCGAACTCGAACTCGAACGCCATCTCGCGACACAACACCAGGAATGCGAAAGCAGCAGAATGATTGATCGGCACCATGACATTGCCACCACCTTCTGTGCACCGGAAAAGCCCCGGGCGCCACAACAATAGCAGCAGCAGCAGCAACATCAGCAACAGTAGCAACAACATCGGCAACAACACGATCAACCAGCCCAGAGACAACGAGATCCATGCCAACGGCAAGACGGCGGAGGAAATTCTTCTTCTTCGCCGCAAGCAACGCAAGAAACGGCGACGTCCTCCCTCCGGGAATAGCGGTAGCAACAACAACAGCATTAACAACAACAACAACAACAGCACAAACGGTCTCGGCAGCCGCACGCAGTCGCCCATGCCGGGCCAAAACAGAACCGGCGCAAGCGGCCGGGACGCATCACCCCCGTCGCCCCCGCAGCTGCCCTCCTGTCTGAACGATCCCTTCCAGCTGATCGCCATCGCCGTCGACCACGACGAGAACAAGCGAAACGGACTCGAGGTCCTGCAGGTCCCCCTGGAATCCGGAAAGCTCTACCACAACGAGGGCCTGTTTTTCCGGGCCCTGGACCACCTGCTGAAGGAAACCCGGGCCCTCCGGTTCGGCTACTCGAGGCCCCTGCCGCCCCCCCCGCGAAGCAGCGACAGCGAGGGGAAGGAACCGACCCCGAACCGTTGGAAGGCGTCCAGGGCCGAGCGCGTCGCGGTCACCCCGATCATTCTGTCCGGCTTGCTGGCCTGCCTGGACGGGAACGGCGTCGCCTCGCGGATCCAGCGGTGTTCCAACCCGGCCTGCACAAAGCTCTTTTGCGCTTCCGCCAGCGCGAGCGAAGACGGAGGCGACCGGGCAAGCACGAAGGCAAACAAAAACACAAACAAAAACAAAAACACAAACGCAAGCACGAAGGCAAACACAAACACAAACACAACCGAGAGCGTACCCAGAGCCGCCGCCGCCGCCGCCACCCCCGACACGACCTCCGCCGAGCTCGTCAACTACACCGTCGGAATGAGGCGGGCCGCGATGGCCCGGGTGCGGCTGCGCATGAAGCGAGACCGGTTCATAAAGGTCGCCAAGCCGGTCCTGGCGTTCCTGGCGGTCCTCGTGCTGTACTGGTACGCCTGGTCCAACTTCCGGTTGCTCCTGATCGGCGTGTATGGGGTCGCCGAGGGCGGAGATCCGTCAGCGCAGGCCAGCGGCCGGCCCCAGCAACTGGTGGCTTCCTCCTGCCGCGGCAGCCACAGCCACAGCCCCGCTGGCTCCTCGGTCCACGAGTACGAACGGGCCTGTAGGATTGCCGAGGCCGGTGCCTTTCGGCTGCTGGCGTCCATCCACAACCACCGCCATACCACGCTCTTTGCCCGGGCGGTTTCCGATTGGATCGCCACCGGCGCTGCGGCGAGCGAACGCACACGTCCCGCTCTCGATGGCGCCTCCGACCTCGGAGACGGGGAGAGCCTCGACCGGCTGGCCCTGGCGCTTGCGGAATACGACGATGTCTACCAGGACGACACCGAGCTCCCCCTCTACGCCATGCACACCCTTCTCGCGGATGAGGAGTCCTCTCGGATCCCACTCGAAGACGTCCTCTACACCCACTACCGGAAGCAACCCCAAGAACCGATGCACCGCGAACGATGGAAACGACGGAGGCGGAGGAAGAAGAAATACCAGCACAGCCATCGAAACAAGAAGGAACGAGATGTAGACGGCAGCCGTCTCCACGACGCTCTCCCTGCACACGAACGCCTGGCGCTAGCGGTTCAGTTCTGGGGGGACACCGCCGTCAACCGTCTCGTGCGCGACGCCATTGTGGAAGCACAGCACGAACACCACGCACCGCCGTCCCAACACCAAACCCCGGCGACGACCAAGAGCCACAAGCACAGGCACCAGAAAAAGGGGGAAAGCAACCCGAACGACCAACACACAAACGAAATGAAACTGCTGGATGTTGGCTCCGGCGTGGCGGGGACCTTGTTTTCGCTCTGTGCCCCGGAATTCCCGTTTTCGAACTGGTCGTACCACGGCATTGCCATTTCCCAGCCCGAGGTGCGCCGGGCCAAACAACTCCTAGCCACCGCCGTTCGACCGGCCCTGTTGTCGGAGACGAGCGCCGCGGGTGGTTCCGAGGGACTCGCGTTTCCGAGTGGCACCCCGCTGACCAATGTCACGATTCGGCAAGCCAGCTTCGACGATCCCCTCCCCCCGAACGAGTACACGGCCATGGTTGCCGTGGAATCACTGGCACACAGCAACAACATCACCAAAACACTGGTGAACCTAGCAAGCTCCCTCAAACCGAAGGGAACCCTGGTCGTCATCGAAGACGTGGTGGCACCGTGGGTGCAAGCGACCGGAAGGAACGAAACGGCCGGCGGCGCCAGGGACAACGACCAAAGCCCCAGCAGTGGCAGCAGCGCCGGCTACCTCCGATCCATGGCCGACCTGAGCGCCAAGCCCTCCCTGAAGACCCACGAAGAGTGGCTCGGGGCCTTTTCTTCCGCGGGACTGGTGCTCCACCGGCCGCCGCGGGACCTGGCGCTCGAGTTCGACACCCTGCCCGAGGCACACAAGAGGTCGGCCACCGCCTCAACCGTCACCGGCCTGCCCTTTATCGGTATGGTGATCGGGGAGAAGCCGTGGTACGCCTCCGGCCACGGCCTCCTGAAGAAGCGGATCGAGTGGTTCGGGACCGGCAGCGGCGACGACGGAAGCATAGCGCATCGTGCCCTCTTGCTGACGGAGGACCTGCTGGCGAACGACCGGGGAAACAGCTACCGAAAGGCCTTGTACAACCGGGGCGATCTAGGCTACTACATGTACGTCTGTACAAAGAAATAGCGACGAAAACAAGCATTAGAATATCTGTTTTGCGTGCTTTGCATGGCCTTTAAAAAATGGTCTCTCTACTAGTATTCATTTTGATTCTTGCTACCAAACGATGGTTGTTGCGAAACGGTTTTGCTCGTTTTCGAATTCTTTTCTCTGCCTCCACTGCTCCTGGTCCCGCTCCACTATTTCTTTGCTTCGGGCATTGATTTTTTCCACGAATTTGGCAGCTTTCTCTGGGTTCCTCCTGCTGCCTGGCACCATGAGCTGTTCTTGGGCCATGGCTACGGTGTCCCACTTTTCCTTCCACGTGCTCTCTCTGGCGTCCTCGATCATGGCGCGAAAGTGTGCTTCTTGTACCGTCAACGGACGCTGCGGGTGGGCGGATCGCAGATCGTTCGTTTGGCTTGTGCACTCGAGAAGAGCCAGCCCGACAACCGTGGTGGTTCCAACCGTGGCAGCGGCCATAGAGACAGGATGGGTTTCAACCCTGCAAACGAACCGTCGAAGCATTTGGTTCATCATTCTGCCATGTTGTGGCAGAGCGCACGGTGGTTCGAGTTTCGGGCGCAGCGAGTGCCGATGACTTCCAAACACGACGGAAACGATGGGTATTTGTCTTTACGCTTGTCTCAAACAAAATATCGTTGTTTTCACTCAGTTTGAAACAATAAAAGTACTACGAAAACAATGTATCCGATCCACGTCACCGCGCGTCATAAAAGTGATGTATGGATGATACGGTATTCGTACCCCCTATCATTCCCTATTTTAAGATGCATGAGTTGTGCTTGGCATGAGGTTAAACAGGCTTTAAGAACGTTAGTTCGTTAAACGGGAAGTGGAACGAAAAACAGAACATCTTTGACCAAGTTCTCAAAAAATACGTCATATTCGGGGAAAACATCGTGTCAAGCATGTCGCCCTGCGCGTGTAGCACGTAAAAGAGCACATAGAGTGCATGTGCCGTATTCTACCTACAATACCAGTAAAAGCAGTACAGCACACCACTAGGGTACCGTACGATGGAAAGTGGTTAACAAATTTGAAATGGTTGTAAGTACGTACGTACGGTACGATACGTAAATCGTAGAGTACGATCATAATAATTAGAGTCACGTCCATTAGTGAATGGGATTCTTCCAAAAGACCAAAAATCAACCCATCACTCGCCGGACACCCAAAATACGGTACATCAGCCATCAAATCGAAATCGATCGTCGAAATCTACTGGTTGACGATGTTTACTTTTTCGGTAGGTATGGCACTTCATGGACGCCACCACTGGATTTGTAAGCATCCATCCTACCCAAAATGATTTTGAGCGGCTGGAGTGAGATACTCGTCTTCTCAATCGTGCTTCCACTGGTCGTAACGCCATCCTCGACAATCGCCTTCACCTCTGATGTGAACTACAGCACGAGGAGGATTTGCCGTGCAACGGGTAAGAATTCTTTTTCATCTGCTTTGGCAGCCGGGGGGTTCGGCAAAGCGCCCGCACCGTCTTCGAAAAAGAAGAAGAAGAACAAAAAGAAACAAAAGCAAATGGAGAATGCTGTTCCTCCGTACATCCCATACGACTCATATCCCAACAATGTTGCTTCCGGTGCCAACGATTCGGGATCTCCGTCGACCAAACAACAAACAAGTGACTTTCTAGATTGGCTGGAGGAAGAGGAAATAGAGGGACTGGATGGGGTGGAGATTGGTTTTTCAAAACTAGGTACCGAGATCGGTGCAAGCGACAACGACACCGCAGACGACAATTTTCTAAGGGGTGTCTTTGCACGACAAAACTTTCGGGCCGGAGAGTACATCATGGCGGTCCCCTTTGTATCGACCATTCTGTTGGACGAGGAATTCGATGCGACCCGCAAACCCGGTGAAACCGTGCTCCGAGCCGATGCCCCCGAGATCGGCCTCCACCTCTTGAAAACCATAAACGAATCGAACTTCGGTGGGAATTTCCGGGCCTTTTTGGATTGCCTGCCGACGTCACCGGACGATCCAAACTTCGACGCAACCCCCGACTTTTGGTCGGAAAAGGACGTCCGGAAACTGGAAATACCGGGGGTAATCGACAGCATGCTGTCTCGAAAGGCATCCATCGCGGCTCTCTCGGCCGACCAGAGTGAACCGGGGGACGCTCCTACCCTTCGGCAGTGTTGTTGGATGGTCCAGTCGCGGGCCTTCACAACATACAAAAAGGCGGTGGACCTCCTCGGGAACGAGGGGCTCCTGTCCCGGGTGGTCCTGATCCCGTTCATCGACATGATCAACCACGGCTCCCGGGGTACCGCAAACGCCGAGATGCAGGTGGTCGAAACCAAGGAGTACGACGAGTCCTTTTACGCCCTGGTGGCCACCAAGCCCATCCGCAAGGGGGAGGAGGTCCGGCTGTGCTACGGGACGGGAGAGGAAACGGCTCTGGAACTCTTCTGCAAGTACGGGTTTCTGCCGGGCGTGGACGATCCGGACAAAGAACGGAAAGCCCTGGGAAAGCTCCTGGAGGGCGTCGAGTGGAGCACTACCCTGGAAGAAGACCGGGCCATGCTGTCGACCGACGAAGGCTCCAGGGAACCCATGCGAACGATTTTGTCGATCCGAATCTACGCCAAGAGCCTCTTCGCTTGAGCGGTGCGACTTGCACTCGCAACCGCGGCGTCTAGATCATCCAATAACATTTGTCGTCCAATCGCTAGAAGTATTCTACAATTCCGTCGGACTACTACACGTACAAATCGAACGCGCAATCGGAACGGACAACGAACAGCATCGAATTTATATCTAAGTTGTCACGTCACGGTGTCGTCTTTCTTAGTTTATCGTACTTTTTTTATATCAAACATTGGCGCGGCAGCAAACGGCCCCCAAACCGTTTCGTAGCATTCCCCCGGGTCGCTTCCCGCCGGGCCTCTCGGTGCGCATTGCGTTGCGTTGCGTTGCCGTGCCGTGCTGTGCTGTGCCGTGCATGGCCGTGCGTTCCTGTGCTGCGCTCTGCCTTTCTACATGCGCTCCAGGGCCTGGATCATCTCCCGGCACTCGGCCGCGTAGTCGACGGGCTCCATCCGGACCACCTGGACCTTGGTCCGGTACTCGTCGTTGACCTGTTCCTTGCGGACCCGGCACTTGAGGACCCACTCCGAAAAGGCGGCCTTGGCAAAGCAGGCGTCGTAGAGGGGCTGGTTCGTCTGGTAGTGCTCGTGCATCTCGTCGGCGGTCCGGCCCAGCATCTGCTGGGCCTGCTCGTCAAAGACGCTCACCCACGTGTTGGAGGTGGAATCGCCGACCGTCCCGGAGAAGATCCACTTGCGGTTGCAGTTCGGGTAGGTCCCGTTGCAGCGGTCGCAGTGGTAGGACCCGTCGGTGGTCTGGTTGATCTTGCATCGGTTCCGGCAGGGTTCCTCCTTGTTGGGGCAGGCCGTGTACCAGGCCCCGCCCTCCTTGTCCTTCTTCAGGAAGGTAAAGTGTGCCTTGAAGCACAAAAAGTCCCCCTTCTCGCTGTGCTCGCCGAGCTGCTGGCCCTTGATGTCGGCGATCGTCTTGCGGTCGGCAAAGGAATCCATTCGGCCGGCCCCCCCGCCGGCACTCGAGAGGGACCGGACCGGGGCCGCCCGGCTTCCCTGGGAGCTCCACCAGGAACGGACCTCCTCCGTCTCGGGGCAGTCGGGTTCGGGGAAGGGGTCCCCGCCACTGAGGGTCTTGCCGCCGTAGTCGCTGACCCGGGCCCGGCGAAAGGCCACGACGGGCTTGTCGGGGCCGTTCCCGCCCAGCTTGGAGGCGGCCTCCTCGGCCTGCCGGCCCCAGGCGGTGAGGCGTACCTGGACGCCCGTGTCGTCGATGAGGGTGAGGTCGGCCTTCTTGAGCTCCTGGCCGGTCTTCTTGCTGACGAGGGACTGGACCTCCCCGATGTCCTGGACGATCCCGATGACGTCGACGTAGGAGCCCTCCTCCTTTTCCTCGAGGTTCCCGATCTTGCAAAAGTCAAAGCTCTGCTTCTGTATGTCTGCCGAGTCCTCGCACTTGGCGATTTCCGTGTTGACGTCGATGGTCATCTCGTAGTTGCTCTTGCAGGTGTTCCACTTCTGGTTGGCGACCTTGAGGCGGCCCCCCGTGATGGTGTAGACCTGGCCGACCTCGAAGTAGTTCTGCCACTTGTCGACGGCCTCCTTGAACATGGTGATGCGGATGTCCGTCCCGCCGGCGTCCAGGACCTCGAGGGAGGAGAGGTATCCCTCTCCCTTGCTGTTCGACCAGTGCTTGATGTCGGACTTGGTGGTGACCCGGCCCTTGATGGTGAATCGGTTCTGGTACATGTTGAGCTGGAGGATGGGGGTGATCCGGGGGCCGCCGGCCGATCCCTGCCGGTGGACGATGGGGGCGCTGCTGCTTCCCGGCCCGCGGGGGCTGTAGGGGTTGTTCTTGCGCGGGCTGCCCCCGTAGGGGTTGGCCCCGGCCGGCTTGGCCGGGGAGTGCTTGGCCGCCGCCCGGTGCTGGTTCGTCCGGTTGTACATGGGGCCGGCTCCGCTGCCAACGGCCCGGCTGGCCGAGAGGTTCGCCGCCCCCACCTTTTCGACGTCGAGGGGGGAGCCGATCTTGGTGTCCACCGTCCCGTCGACGACGGAAAAGCCCAGCAGGATGATGACCTTCTTGCCCTTGACGTCGTTGATCATGTAGTTCTCGATGCGGACGACGTTGTGGTTCTTGAGGCGGTCCTCCGCAATGAGGTGGTTGAGCTGGGTGGCGACCATGCCCTGGACGTAGCACTCGCCGTCCGAGAGGATGATCCGGTAGCGGTCCGTTTGACCGCCGTTCCTGACGTTCTTGATGTTGATGATCTGGCAGACCGGCTGGAAGCCCTTTTCCTGCTGGGGGGCCGCAACGATGGTCCGGACGGCCTGGGGGGTCAGCAGGGATGCCATGGTGTTGTTGTTGCGGTGTTGTTGTTGTTGTTGTTGTTGTTGCTGCTGCTGCTGCTGTGAAAACGTGGTTGGGAGCTTGCCGGCCTTGGGTGTGTTGGGTTGGTTTGCGTTGGGGCGGAGGGAAGTTTCGTCACCGGTGTGGTGTGCAGTTTTGATCCAGGTGTGTTTTGTGTGTTTTGCGGTAGGTTGTCGAAAATCAATCGCTTCGTCCTTCGTGCTTCGTATGAGTATGAGTACCTACTACCGCACCTTTGCGAACCTGCGGCGCGAATATCCATCCGGAAGAACACCATCCCCCCCCCCTTCCCTGTGAGAAGTCCACTACCATTTTACGTACTTTATGGTACCGCAGTGCACACTGGAGGAGGCATTTTTTGTTTTTGCATCCGCGGACGGCATTGCGTTTGGCGCGCCTTTCTCGCTCGCGCCATCCCGAACGAGTCGAAAACCGAACGAATCACATCCTGCATCCGTGAAACTGTCTACAAAGATGGCGCGAACCTTGTGCGTGCAATGGGTCTCTACGCTGGTTCCCGTAGAGACTGCCCGCACCGTGGCCACGATACGTCGCACGTTGATGCAGGAGAAGTACGGTACGATACGACTTCGGATTTCATTTAGTAGGAGTACGTAGCGGCAGTACGAACCCTATGGTAACGAGATGACGGCAGTGGTCACTGCTATATACGACACGTACGGTACCGTACCAGGTAGTACGTACGGGATTGCTCCGAAGCCCTCCGCGGTTCTTCGATTTGCGAAACAGAAACCCGGACCGGCGCCGCGACGGGAGGAATGAATGAAACAATCAGAACCACCCTGCCCGTTTTTCTCAAACACAAGCTCGATCGTTGCCTTGCGTTCGACACGACACGACACACCTTTGCCCCAACACCCCGGCACCGCAGCATTCCGCACTGCACCGCACCGCACCGGAATGGATCGAAAGGTGGCCTCCGCTTCGAAACGCGGCTTTCGCGGCTGCTCCAGCGACAGCGACAGCGACGACACGGCGGAGCTGCTCTTCCGGCTGAAGAACCCGTTCGGGAGGCAAACCGCCCGGGAGGCGGATCCCGCGCCGCTGGAAAAGGTGGAATTCCGAGCGGACACCGAAACGGGTGCCGAAACGGAAACCAAATCCGAAGCATACACAAACCCCCCCTGGCGGGAACCAGAACGCCGCGATCGGAGCCCTGGTCACGCCGAATCCATGCCCCCTCACCGGGACGCCCGCAATGCCCACGGCGGGACGGAAGCGGAAGCAGAAGCAGCATCAGCAACATCTGCAACATTTGAAACGGCATCGACAACAGCAATAGCAACAGCAAAGACCCGGGACCCGTCCCTTGCGGGAATCCCCGTGCGCTTCCAGCTCCCCCTTCAAACACTGTCTTCCTCGTCGTCTTCCTTTTCCTCCGAGGAGGAACCCCCTCGGCACCGGACCGGCGGCAAAACAACATCCGGGGGGCGTACGTCCCCCAGCCATGCTCCGTGCATCGATCTGGTCGATTCCGAGGACACCGGCAGCGAGGGAGAAGCGGCAGTGGCAGGAGCAGCAGCAGCAGCTACCGCAGGGAGGCGGGTTCGGAACCGCACGCAGCGGTTTCGATCCTTTGGGGCAGCCGCAGCATCATCCACAACCAAAACGACAACAGCAACAACAGCAGCAACAACAGCAGCAACAACAGCAACAGTAGCAACAACAGCAGCAACAGCAACAACAACACCCGCCAACCGGGTCTACGAAAACGAGGCGTCCTCCCGCCGCGGACCAAAGAGCCCGTGGTTCAACACCGTGTCCCGGGACTTTGTGCGGCGCAAGCGGTCCCCGAGGAAAAAAAGATCGCAAGCTTGCGCGGTCCGCTCCCGCGGCGAGGACGAGGACGACCCCATCGTCTTTGGAGACGACGACGACGATGACAGCGACGACGAGCACGGGGGCTTCCGGACCCGCTTCGCCGGTTCTCGATCGAACCGCTCCCGGAGGGTGACCCTGGACCGCAGCGAGAGCCACGGAAGGGTCGAAGACGGCGGCGACGATCCGATCGTCGTCTTTGGAGACGACGACGGCGACGGCGCAATGGGGTTCCACACCGGGTTCCCCCGATCGGCACCGGCGACGACGCGCCGGCTGAGGGACCCCATGGCCGGCAACAAAAGCCTAGCGGCCTCGGTGGTCCAGAGGCACCGGCCCGGGCTGGCGGAGGGGGCCCGGGAGAGGGCCCGGATCGCCAGGGCCATCGAGTCGGACCGGGGGGACCTCCGGGGGCACGCCGCCGCCGCCGTGGCGCTGGTCCGGGATCCGTCGAAACCAGCGGCAGCGACAGCGACAACGACAGCGGCCCCCCTCGAACCGGCCGGGTCCTCCGCGAGCCGGGGGAGGGCGGGGGCCGGGCCGGGGGCGAAGCGCGGGAGCTCCGCTTCCAGGCGGAAGGGCCCGTCGTCGAAGTCAAAGGCCCGCGGGAGGAAGCGCTCCAGAGGAACACGGGGGAGAAAGGGCCGGTCCGGAGGGCGCCGGGGAAGCGGCGGGGGCGGGAACGACTGCGGGGCCTGGGGCAGGCCCTCCACCGGTGGATGGGCCTCCGCCCGGCCGGCCAAGAACCGCGAGGACCCCGCCTTTCGGAGCGTCGGGGCGGAGGTGACCTTCTGAGCCGAAACCACGGGGCTTGGCCGGCCGGCCGGACGCGACGAACGAAGCCGGACGCAGCTTTGCCACCGCGAAACAAAACGCCGGACGCGGCCATTCGTGTCTGCCGTTCGAGTCATTCGGTTCGTTCTGGGTTTGTTGGTCGTGCCTGCTTTTGGCGTTTTGGTGGTTCCGAGGCCTGGCTCGAACCAACGCAGCGAGCGGGGAAGCGGTTTAATAGTTTTCTCTATCTACTGATTCTACATTGTAACACTCGTTGTATTTATCGTTGCAGCCATAGGGGATCCGTTCGGCGCATTCGTTCGTGGAACACCGCGGCAGCCTTCTAGATTCCGACCGGGAAGCGGAAACGTCCGACCAAGGAGTCTACGGGCGACCGATTCGTGCCAACCAGTGGTGTTTGTTTCTCTCCTGGCGAGCAGGCACGGGTGCATCGGGCAACGAGCACCGTTTTCGTGGGCCTCGTTGGATACCGGTAGCGGCGAAAGCGACGCCGCGTGCTCGAACCCGAAATGGGTTCTCCCCGGCATGTGCATAGCTCTTTCTGTGTCTCCTCCCACAAAACTCTCGGCCCGTGGTCGATTCGTGGGAAACGGTGGTAGCCGGTACGACTCCCCGACGGACAGTCCCTGTCGTACGCGCGTTTGAACCCTCGGTCGTTCCCTTGCTCGCGGTGCCGTCCACGGGTGGTGGCAATGGTTTCGCGTCGTTTTCATCCGCGCTTCGACTGGTTTCTCGGCTCCTTTTCGGGAATCAATGGTGCTACGAATAGGACACGTTGATCATGGGCTGCGCCAGCCTCTTGGTGGGCGATCCGGTGTAGGCGTGCTGCCGGATCCACACCTGCGAAACGTACTTGGTGTCGACGGCCGGCAGGGCTGCGTGGAGGGCCCGCTTGTCCAGGTAGCCGTCCACGGTCGCCGGAAAAAAGACCACGGCCGTACCCTTGCGAGGCGAGACCTTTAGGTTCATCACGGGAAAGTCGGTCTGGCCACCCTGGGCGCAGTCGTTGAGGTACACCAGGACCGTCACGACACGCTGGCCACCGTTCTCGGCGAAGCGTCGCCCGTCTTCGTTGCTCAGGTCGAACGCGTCGGAGTGCTGTCGTAGAAATGGTTGGTGTGTGATTGGAAGAAAAAAGAACGCGGTGAGACCAAAAAACAACGTATCACAGCATCGAAATGAAAGTTCTGCGCTTGTACAGTGTCGCACAGAAAGCGCTCGAATAATGTACTTTTGAACTTTTTCTCGCAAATGCTACACAATCGGTCCAAACGAGTCACCCTACACGAACATCGCAAATGATGTTACTCACGTGCCGGTACTGCTGGGTTGGCAGGTATCTCCCCACTTGCGGAAGCTCGCAGTGATCCACCGGTTTGGAAGTCAGGGCAGAGACTTTCGTCATGTAATCCGTGAGGTCTTCCCGCGCCAAGAAACACGTGGAAGAGGTCCGACTGGGAGAAATCTCTCCCGCGCCCTTTCCCACTACTGGTGCCGGTTGCCATGCCCCTTCCGCCGCCTGGATCAAAAAATCACACTCGGCGTGCGTCAAAAAATCGCGAACCAGGTAGATGGGGGGATCGACTCCGAGTGGTTCGACGCCGGGATACGCAAGGTTGACACCGTTGAACACGGGGGTCAACACCGAGGGCAGTTCTTGCACCGTCAATGGTATCGACACTATCGGCTGCTGCTGCTGCTGCTGTTGCTGTTGCTCCTGCTGAAAATATTGCTGCTGCGGAATGAGCTGCGTCGCCGCGGCAACCGCCGCGGCATTGTTCGAGGACAAGGATGTTGCTGCCGCTAGCATCATCATGTTGTTCAGGGCATTTACGTACTTTTGGTTGTTGTTCACGGGAAGAATCAATGCCGGAGCGTAGCCAGCGGTGCCGTTCATCGATGCTGCCAACGCAGATGCTTGGAGATTCTCGGGGATGAGATTGTGAATAATCGGTATAGGCGATGCCACGACCGGCATTTGTTGTGAAATGGGAACAGCTGGATATTGCATTTGCTGCTGAACCTGTTTCAATTGCTCCAAGTGCAACTGCTGCTGTAATTGTTGGATGTGTTGCTGTTGCTGTTGCTGCTGAACAAATAAATTTTGCTGTAGGGCGTCTGTCGGTACGATCGGTATTCCTATCGCCGGGATTGCCATGGGTTGTAGATTGTTGATGATTTGTTGCTGTGTATGAGCAGCAGAAATCTGTTGCACCATCGCGGGGTATTGGGTAGTATTCGGCACGGTGAATGTTTGCATCGGCACAGAAGCGCTTGTTTCGGGCTGCTGCTGCCATGCCGTTAAGGCGGGAAGAAGTGAATGGCTTGTCCCGCCATTGATGTTGATTAGTTGATCATTGCGGGAGTTTGCGTATGCTCCTAGCGTGAGAAGATCACGATCACTGACAACGTTGTCCGAGATCGCTCCGATTGTGCTCGCCATTGCTGCGGCTGACATCTTTCCGTGTCAACCTGAGAATTCTTGCAGCTGCCGCGTGCGGTCGATTCCTATGTCTTCGTGTTGCTCTCGTATAATGAAAGTCTTTTGGTGGTCTTCGATGTAGCGTTGATTTCTTCTGTCTCGTGGCATGAATAAGCAATGTGACAACCTCTCTCCGACGTCGCAGAATCTACCGTACTAGTAAGGCATTCTGTTCTGGGCGGCAGAAACCACTCCGGGGTTCATGAAAGGCTGCCCACGTGATCTAATTTCTGTCGACCATTTTCTATCTACGGGGAATTATCCGTAACAACGCGCCGTACGTGGTTCTAGTACGACACACGAAAAACAGAAATGATCAATCGAGCAACTAAAAAGTGAGGAAAACATTGTTGTGGAACGTTGCCAAACGTTGCCAGCATGAGCCAGATTTAGTCGCGAACGCGCGAAAAATGAATGTTTGAATCAATCACAATCTTACCATACGTTGGATTCTGTGAGGTGGTGATGACCAATGAAAACACAGCAACTAAATTGAGAACACCAGCGGTAAGGTGTGTGGAGAAAGGCGGCAGCTTCTAGTTGGCGATTAATTCAAAGATGATTACCACGAGCCGATGAAAGTGCAAAAATGAGACGAAAGCGAAACTTTTTTGGCATGATTCACTCACTATCTACTCGGGACTTACCATTTCAGAGTGTGATGGCAATTTTCAAACTTACCGGTATGGTTCCTATGCTCATACCTTCGTCGTACCTATGTCGGTGGAAGTTGATGTCCGGCCTTCAACCGGATATTTGATTCGTGTTTTTCACAACCAATTACTTGTACTTGTAGATTTTTCTCAAGAAGAAGCTCATCTTGTTTCATCTTACCTTGCCGCGTAAGCGTTCTCATCACAGATCATCGTTGTACCGGCATCTATGCGATGAAACAATCTTTGGCCTTGTTGAAAAAATTCTTTGCCCTTGATGGAGACCACACCATTCTCACAGTACGGTACGATACTCGCAACCGAAAAGTTGATTCACACAAGTCTCTTGACATTTTGAATACGAGCAGCTCAGAAAAGAACCGAATACAATTGCAATCCTCAGATTAAACGACAAATAGACATAAATTCTGAACCACACCAGTTCGACCGATTGGATCTACGACGAAAGCATCATGGCGTTGACATCCACCACCGCCCCTGGAAAGGTTTTTGCATCGAGAGCCGAAATTGCTAATCACTACAAGAGCGACTGGCACAAATACAACCTGAAACGCCGCGAGGCTGGACTTCCGCTTCTAGAAGAAAAAGAATTTCAGGTGCGACTGGAAGCTGCTCTTGCGCTGCGAAAAGAGAAAGAAAAAAAGAACGGAACGGATCACATCAAAGACGTGAACAGCAAAAAGAGCAAGAAGAAAATCGAGAAGAAGAACAAGAGAAACAAAAATGCTTCTGCCGAGAAGAACAACAAATCGTCTACTGCTGCCGATACCGAAATGGCTACCGAAGAACAAAGCGAGGCCGAAGCAACGAAATCTCGGATTCCTGCTGCCTTGGCCGCCAGTCAAGAAAATCCAGAAATCGATCCCAAACAGAGTCTTTTCGACCAACATGTTTCTCATAGTCTGAAGGAAAATGTCCACTACATGCAACAAAAGTATGGATTTTTTATCCCCGACAAAGAGTGCATTGCAGATCTCGAAGGCCTATTGGGTTATTGTCACGAAAAAATCAAATTGGGTCACTATTGTCTTTATTGCAACCAGTAAGTGGGGTTGAGTCATGTCTAGTTTCCTTTCTATCAATTCGGATCGACTATTTCCCGTTGATGTGTTGTTGTTTCAAGTGCTGTATGTGCTCATAGAACGGTACTCGATACGTCTCTCTTTTTCTTTCTTGTTCAACCAACGGAAACCATTTCGGACCAACACCAGAGTTTTTCCAACGTGGCAAGGCTGTCAACAGCACATGATTGACAAGCAGCATTGCAAACTCCGGTACGAAGAAGGTTTCTGGGAAGAACTGGATCCATTTTATGACTTCAGATCGGAAGACAAGGAATTTGTCGACAAGATCCAAAGCAACAATGTTACTGACGACGACGACTCTGCTTCAGATATGGTTACGGATGGCAACGACGGAGACGATGACGGATGGGAAGATATGTCGGATGGCGAGGAAGAGGAAATGTTCGATGGCTACGAGCAAGAGATCAAGCGCTTTGGATTGAACGTTAATGCCCTGGGCGAGCTTGTCTTCCCGGACGGACGCGTCGTTGGTCACCGTGCCCTGAGGCGGTACTACGACCAAAAAGTCAGCGCCGATACAACGAAAAGCCTCGCCATTGTGGCCGCCAAGAAAGCCTCGGGAGAGCGCATGTACAACGGTCGTGTCGTCAATATCTACGATCACAACCTCAAGCACGACAAGGTCCGCGGTGCCGGCAAGGGCATTCTGGTGGCCACCGGCGGAGGGGACAGCGGAACCCCGGCAACCTTCTCGACCTTGTCCTTGTACCGATTCAGAGCCGCTATTCGAAAGCAACGCCGGGGCGACGCGAAATGGGAGAAAATCCGAAACAAGGCCTTGGGCAAGAATACAAACAGAATGGACAAGAAGGCAAATCGATTGATGAATGGAGTCAGTGTTGCCCATGCTGCCCGCTAGTGTTAATGATTCTTAGAAGGTGAAAATTCATTTCCTGTTTTCAAATTTCGTAGAGGTATCGCATACATTGATTTTGCTCGAGAGATTTGCAAAACTATCGTTGTTCATTGTATTTCCACACTTATTTTCCTCTCTAGTAGTCTCGTCAGGAGTTTTAGTATTTGTCACTCCAACAACCGAGTAATTTTTTTCTTATTTTGAACGTTGCAAAAGAATCGATTCGGTTTGTGGATAAAGAGACTCCGGATCAAATGAATACTTTGTTGAACTATTGATCTTGCTTTGGAACCAGCGTTGTAACGACACATCCTATTTTGTTTAGTGTTTCTGTACAATACTTCTCTTGTCAGTGCTCGGGTAATGCATTTCAAGTTCAACAAACGATCCAATAATCCGAAACAATCATGATTGGCTCATCGTTCCTTCATGTTGTATTTTCCTTCCTCTTCGAGCGCCTTAATTGTCAAGCAATTATCTTGCGAACCACGACGGTGTCTTTTTAGGCTACTTCCGTATAACGTCATCCCTTGCAATGGCAGTGATTTTCACCAACGTTTCGAGGAAGGATACTGCCGGCGCGTGGGGATTGCATTTCGAAAACAGATCTTTGGATGGATACAATATCCGCAGGGTTCCTTTCGATATGTAGGGTTCCAAGTTCTTCCATACATCGCAATCGTATCTGCTGACTTCCAGGTCTATTTGTTTCAGTGCTTCCTCGGTCAATCCGAGTTCCGCAAGATCTTCCTTGGTGTTTTTCCTACTGGAATCCAAAGCTGGATGCGGTAGGTGCAACCAGCTGTGCTCGTCGCACCACAACGAGTTCGCATCGCTCTCGACAGCGGCTTGGCCCTTTCCATCGTCCATTTGGAGAATGTCACAGGCAACCACGCCTTTCAATCCTTTGATGATGTTTGTTCCTTCTGCCGCTGTCGCTGCGATACCAGCAGCACTTTCTCGGTCTTCCTTTTCGGTAACACCCTTCATGTCGACAATTGTGGTTTTGATACCCCTGCGTACAAACTGCAACGCCAAGGCCAGAGAATTCAGTTGCCAAAGCTGGTTGTTCCTGGCGAAGAAAGTCTTTAGGGTTGTGTGCTGTCCCGTCTGGTGCCATATAGATATCACGTGATCAAGTCTTGGCAATCGGTAATTAACGTGGACCTCGAAATCCTCCAATCTTGGTGGCGCTCTGCGACTGGTGTCATTTTCACTCCCATCCCAGACGAACAGTCTCATCAATGTTTGGATGCTCTTGTCGGCATCTGACGGGACGTGGGTATCTTCTCCGACCTTTTTGATTTCGTCGTCATCAGTGTCGTATGCCAGATGTCTCACGATGCCATCAAAGGCTTCGGCTCCAATCAAAATATTCTTGTTACTCTCCCACGCTTTGCGAAACAAGGACCGGTAGTAGTCCTCGACTCTGACACGGAATTTCTTCCGTGCGATACCGCTGTGAAGCTTCTTGAATTCTGGAAACCAGAAACCAAATCGTCTCATAGTGAGGAACGATGCGAGCGCTGCATGGCTTTTTGCTTTGTTGCTCTTTCGAAACGGCAGGCCGTCGCTTGATTCACTGTAGGGGAGGGGCCAGATCCATTTTTTGTTGGACGGATGCGGTAGAATAGGTGTGTCGATGTTGTCGTCGTCGAGAGAGATGCTTTGACCAGCCAGTTGGACCGAAAAATCCTGGAGGCTGGTCGAGGCGGTTTTGTGCGGACCGGCCAGAATCACGATCTTCGGTTTGTGTCGGTTCCAGCGGTCGACATCGTACGCAAATGCGGACTCTGTGGTTTCGGTTCGGAGACCGCCGTCTTCGCCGGCTCTGCGAAGGGTTCCGAGGTTTCGGAGAAAAGTCAAAAACCCCACGCCGACCAAGACCAATAACGCGCCCCACCTTCTCCTCTGCAAGGTAGGTCTTATGAAGTAATTCCATCGTCGTCTCTGTGTTTTTTGTCCCATCGTCCACTGAGTTCCTCCACTACCACAAAAATTTTTGCAGGATAAAAAATATTTTATCCGTTTTGAAATGGGGGGGTCAAGATTTACTTAAACAGAAGGGCGCGACGCTTTGTGTTTTTGTTACTACGCCTTGCGAATCAATTCAAATTACATTTCAAGGGCATTCCGAATGTTACCTCAACACTCCAATGCTAGCAACATACAGTAAATCTTTGAAGAAATAAGTATCGTGGGGATAGACACGAAATTGGTTGCGGCAGGCGCCGTTGGATTTTTTTTGAAGGACAGCGGTGCCCGAAAAAACTACTAGAATGACTTGTTGTCACAACAATGACTGAATGTTTAAGTTAAAAATGAATAATCTATTTTTGGTCAAGGTACTAATTTATTTGCAAAAAATGCTATACCAGGGTTTGTAAAAATCCACACTAAAAACAAGTTCTTTTTGTTTCCTCGGTAAGTCGAGGGCTGTAAGAATTCTTCAAAATTACTGGCTACCGCACACTAAAGTTAGTGAAGTGCAGTGTAGTGCACCATAGCCAATTATTTTATTTGAAAAATAACCCACGGAATCATGATGCTACTACTAGTACCGATGTACAATTTCAAAGGGGGGACGCACGTTGGTTCCAGAGGGCCCTGAATGTTATCAGGCAAGGAATCCTTCTTCTTCATATTTTTAAGGAAACAAGACCAATATGGAGAATGGGGATTGTAAGGTACACTACCAGGATCTACATAGTAGTAGGCCTACTACAGTGATGATATAGTAGTAACATTCCAAACTTTAAGTCTGACATCATTGGGACAAACAACAACATTACTAGTACTAGTACTAGTACTACTTAACAAGAAAGAAGTCGTTCACGACATAGGGAACCTTCTTCTTGATTCTAAAATTCAGTATGTCCTGTGAAACTTAATTTCAATTGATATGCAGTGCATGTGACTACTAGTACCCAGAGTGCTGACTTTGATTCTCATATTTTTCTGGTGTGCATCTCTGTACCTAGTGCTACTACTAGTAGTAGCATTAGTAACAAGAAGAACAACAACAAGAATAGTATAGTATACTACCTGCTGAAAGACCTCATGATGTATAGGATCACTTCCAATCATTCTCAACAACCTTTCAAACTTTAAATGGACATTAGTACTACTTGTACTGCTAGTAGTACTGATACAGTTGAGATTCCAGGGTCAGCTGCAGGAGGCAGTACTAGGATTTTTTCCTTTGGTGACATCAGTACTACTAGTAGTAGTATTGTTGCTGTTTTCTTCAGTTTATTGGTGAGGAAGTGCTGATATAGGACCACTACACCAGCAGCAGAGCCAGAACTCATTCTGTTTACTACTACAACTAGTAGTACTACTAGTACTACTACTAGTAGTAGTACTAGAGGAGTCTTGCTGCTCTTCCTTGTCCTTTCCATAATACACCAGGTGCAGCTGCTGGGCTGGTGGTGCTGCTGCTGCTACTAGTAGTACTAGTAGTACTAGTACTAGTACTAATCATCATCACCATTGTTGTCTTCTTGATATACTAGTACTACTACTTTAGTAAGAAGGAGGAGGAGGGCAACATGAAGAACAAGAAGCAACAAGAAGAACAAGAAACACAAGTAGTAGTACTAGTATTATTTAGTACTATTACTACTACTAGTTCTACTACTACTACTAGAGGCAAAATAATATTCTTTGGGAAAGTAGGACAATGATCTTGTTGTTGTTGCTGCTAGTAGTTGAAAAGGTGCTTCTAGTACTACTAGTAGGTCATGCATAGTCTCAGCAAAAATGATGTACTAGCTAATAGTACTACCACTTGTTCTAACAACAACAACAAGGAGTGCAGAACAACAAGAAAATTCAGACAAAAAGAAGAAACAAGAACAACAAATATTAGTATAGCAGTACTAGTAGTACTAGTAGTATCAGTTGAACGAGGTACAAGTACTAGTACTAGCTACTAGCTACTACTAGTACTACTTGTACAACCAGTACTACTACTAGTAGTACTGCAAGTACTCCCTGGATACCAAAACAAAAGTGAAAGAATAAAAAGTGGTATTTTTGAATTTGTTGCTTGTAGTAGTAGTAGTAGTAGTAGTAGTAGTAGTAGTAGTAGTAGTAGAAGTAGAAGTAGTAGAAGTAGTAGTAGTAGTAGTAGTAGTAGTAGTAGTAGTAGTAGTAGTAGTAGTAGTAGTAGTAGTAGTAGTAG